TCTTCTTCCAAAATTTCTAATGTTGCTTCGTCAGATGGACCGTTGTTGGGTTTTACGTATACTGCACATAAGTAAACATCTTGTTCTAGGCCTAGTTGTCTGCTTGATAGTTGGATCCACATGAGATTTTCACTTTTGCTACTGAGTATTTTAATACCATTTATAAGTTCTTTTTTGTAATAAATTACTATTCCGCCTGAGGGTCTGCCTTTCGCTTTCTTTTTTGTTCTTAACTTTTCTATATGACTGTGGGTACCAGTGGGAAGGGCAATTTTTGATCTTACCGTACTGAATGTTTCTACACAAACAAAAATGTCAAAATTCTGGACTGTTGAGACAAAGTTATCATCAGCTAATTTCTTAGCTAGCCCTCTTATATTTCGCATGCCAATGCGCAACATTTTTAATTGGTTGGTATAACCTGCCTGAATATAGTTTGTATCTGTACAAAATGTTTGATATCAGAATGACTGGTATCACCTCAAATACTGGCACTTTATGCCTTGCCAAGAATTCTAGGTTACCTATAAGCAAAGGTTATTTTCGTTCTACATATATGTTATTTAAAGTTCCAAAAAGGCTAGGGAATATATTTAAATTTATATACATTTTGGTCAGTAAGACAGTTCTATTTATATGAGGAATTATCTTATTAACATGACTAATAGCTGCATGATGTAAGTTTTTTTAGGATGGGGGAGGGAAGTGTATCTACTTACTTGTTTTTGAACACTCGTTCCCATCTCAGTAACATGATAAGAAGATACATATACTTACATAATTTCTTTGCAGTTTCACTGTACTTTCTTGCGATATATAAGTATGTAAAAAAAAAAAGTTCATATTTATATGTATGTGTTCTTAAGAGTTCAACTTTTGGCAAAGTCCATTATTAATTCAATTTTGGCATAACCCTTTTATTGTCACAGTTTTCTTTCCAGCTTGCTTAAGCAATCTCGCAACATTCGAAGTTCATTTTCTAAGTGGAATTGGTGTTGCTGAGCACCACGTTGGTTGTAAGTCTTTCTATTATTCCATTGGTCCTGATATGTATGGAGCTGTCTACCATGGGTAGGGGGTGGGGGTCCATTTGCTAGCTTGATGTTCCTTGCAAGGGCAATTACACCAGGTTGGGAGAGGTGGATTCCATCCCATACGAAGAAGTCCCTTCTGCACACTATATTGCTATTATGAATGTATCTAACACCATGTTGTGTCTGGCAAAAGGCGTGTACGAGGGCATTTGTTTCCTGTGCATTTGCATTGAATCTCCTATTACCCCATCGTGGAAGGATGTTACTGACCACGATTGTTGTATTCGGGTAGCGCTGTCTAGCACTGCGTATCAGGTCTTTTGTTTCATTCGCAACTTGGCTAGGGGGCTGGTTGGAGCTGATGTTGTTAGATCCAATGATGAAAGTGATGGATCTAGGCTGGCCAAATTGTTTTTCTAACAAGAGCTTTTTAGCATCTTCAATCTTCTTTCCACTCAGTACATAGCAGTGGCTCTTGGATTTTGGGAATAACTTATTAGCTTGAATTCCTTTCCCAATAGAGCTAGTTATTAAGACATGGTCCAATTCTATAGGAATATTCTCTCTTGAATTCGGTGGAGTCATTGTGTTTCCATTCCCAGTAAGTGAATTTGCTGGTGGGTGCAGATTGGTAGTGTCAGTAGAAGATGTTACTTCATGTATTTCTGGGGAAGAGGGTGCTATCGGTGATGCTGCTAATACAGATGGAACAATGGTAGGTGTAGCAGCAGTGATGAGGGGTGTTGTTTTGACAGCAGCCTGAGTATTATCAGGGGTGACATCAGTGATGTTATCAGTTTCATTAACCATTTCCAGCCTTGAGTTTGTTTTCTCAGGTGTATGGGTATGTGTGGCCAAGCTGTCTCTATCCTCCCATTGTGTTCCTTTGCTGACTGTATCTCTCTGGTTAGGTGTTAATGGCCCAGTCTGTGTCCCATTGTTGACTGTAGTCTTTTGTTTTGGGACTGTGATTAAGGTCTCACATTGTGTTCCAGATGTCACATTAGTTGTGTGCTTGGGGTTTTTGTTATCTATCTTCTCTGATAGATAATCTAACTGTTTGATGATCTTTGAGAGTATACTTGTAGTTTCTAGATGTCTAGAATCTGATAATGCGGTGATACCAGATAATGAAGCTTTTATGGACTCCAACTGGTCGCTAAGGAGGGTTTTGGACTTAGCTTCTTCCCTTTTAGCATCTGCCGTACTGAATACAATTTCTGAATATTGATTTTCTACTGCTTGTAGAGTTTCCTGTAGTCTGGATATGTCCCTCTCGTTTTTCTTTTCTTTTGGATTTGGACGTGTTTTTGTTTTGAAACCCTTGCGTAGAGTTTGACTGTCTTCTTCAGTTGAGTTGGTCTTATTGACAGGTGAATCAGCAATCTGTGTGGTCTCTGGGTGTGATGGTTGTATTTTCCTTGGTGATGATAGTAGAAGTGATACATTTGGATAGTCATGAGCCAACCATAACATATAGGCTGCTCCCTGGATGTGTAGCTTTTTGGACTTTGCTGTGTGGTAGAAGGTTAGTGAGACTGTACCTAGTTTTGCACCGGAAGAGCTAGAATATGGAAACTTGAGTTGAGTCCCTATTCCACCATTTACTTCACATTCAGATTCTGGTTTGTGATATACCATGCACTTCTCCAGCCATTGCTTAACTTGGCTCACTGTGTTCATTTTTATGACAACACAGTGGGCATTGTCGGCGGTTGTGTCGATAGTAGGGCCTTGGTACTCCTCAGAATAATCATAATTAGAAGATATGCCATTTTCCCTGTCATATATGATTCTAGTTTTCCTGTTCATCAAAGTAGAGAATGCAATACTGTATGATTCCAACAGTTTCTGATTATTGTCATTTAAGTCTGTTAGCTCACCTGCCTTTGTTGTGAATGCTTCCTTTATTTCCTCTGTTGTGGCTTCAGGCTCCACGCATAGTGTACTGTAGTGATCCACCATCTTGGCTTGCTGTAGAGCTCTTTGTTTAGAGTGTGCAGTTCAGATCAGATTTATATCACTTATTTCATCTAACTTGCACGGTTTTAATCCTTAATATTTTCAAATACTACTTCCTCATATGTTCATATTCCCTTTACAACTTGTTTAGATGATTTAGAAATCTTGGTTCTGGCATAAAAGTGCAATTATTAGAGAGCCATGCACATGATCATCCTGCTGTCAGCCATCTTGAATCAAAACCCATATTTGAAACATGCTTCTATCATGCTGCTAATCTACTGCGTTAATGCTCCTCCTCCGTACAACCCTATGTAATTTCTGAAGTAGAATTGCAGTAGGGTATGCTGCATTTCTACTGCAAATATGCTCCACATGATCTTGGATATGTTTTTAGCTACTTTATTGAACATAAATATAAACCCGCGAAACTTAAATGGTCAGTTGAAATGGATAATATTGAAATATGCCCAGGTTGATGGTTTATTTGTGAATTGATGGATTTGTATTGATCAAATATAGTGGTCTGGTTTCACTTGGCCGCTCTCCCCGTGAGTATATTTAAAGGTTCAGTTTGTCCACCCATAAGACTAATGAAGCGTAACGGAGTGGAGGTCAATCTGCATGACCAATACACAGACACTCCTTACAGTCTAGGCAATAAAAGCGCACACCGAAAAGTGTATTTCTGTCACTTGTCAACATGCCACAGATGTCTGAAATCATGAGGGAGCTTGCCATCGGCTTGCTCAATGCTAGCTTGTTGGTAGCAGATGTGCCAGCATGCCTGAATGTACATCATTCCACTGTCAGCCGTCTGAGAACACGCTTCAGGGACACTTCAGAGACACAAGGAACCGAACATGCCCGCCGAACATGTGTTACCACACCCGATATTTCGCCCATCCAACTCCTGTGGGATGTTCTAGATCAGCGTCTTTGCCATCATGTTCAAGCTCCCGAGAATGCTCACCAATCGCGGGTAGACTAGCACTCTAGGAGGAATGGGATAATATCCCTCAGGCCACTATTGACAACTTAATGATGCCCATGCGCTGCCAGTGTACTGCTCTGTGCAAAGCTAATGGTGGCAATACTTGTTATTAATGTCTGTGAACTCAGGATGTTGACCCCCATGGTGTAGTTGATGCCCTAACTCTTGGACTATGCATTTAGACTTCCCGTAATGCTCTCAAAGTGATGTCTATTTGTTGAGGAAAATATGCTGTTAATGTTGGCTATATACTCTAGTTCCATACATGAAAATAAATCAACATATTCTTTCGTGCGATTATATTTTTGTACAATATATAAATATATATGCTTCTCTCTATACAAATCTATGTACTTTTTGAAGTAGAATTGCAGTAGGCTAAACTGCATTTCTACTGCAAATGTGATCCACACAACTACTGCACTAATGCTTCTTTGCTACCTCGATACTAATGCATTTTCGTGAGGGCTCCCTCTTGCTGCCACCTGGAATCTTAAACTGCCAGACGTTCCTTCTAGATCTGACAGTTACTTTTTTTGTATGAGGCCAGCACGTATTCTGTGATTAATATTGCAAGTGTCCTATGTGGACATTAAATATACATGTAGTAAGACGGGCCCTTTCTATGGTTTCCTCGGAAATTAATTACATGTAGATAAAAAAATATGTAATGATATTCAGAATGTCACAGATAAAGTATTTAGCGATATTCTTCTCCTTTTTAGCCAAGGATGCAATTTTTTGAACACGCATAGAATGTAAACCAAGCAGCCGTGCAGAGAGAAAAAATTACCCACATGTCTCCGATACTAGACACATCGTTAACATTAAATCATTTGCGGTTGCTTTCGCACAAAAGGAAATCAACTGAAGCCCCCATATTCCAGATCAGACTGGTATAAAGACAAAGACGCGTGCATATATTTCAAGGACACTAAATGAATATGATTTCTTTAAATTTCAGTTTATGATTCTGCAATGTGTCTGAGATGAACGTCACCTTAATTACATCATAGCTCCAGTAAATAGTTATCTAAAGAAGCTTGTCTTAAACGTTTGACACCAGACGTTGTTTTCGAGAACAAGACGCTGCAAGTACTAGACATTGTTAACAAAGGGAAGCCGAGGATCTAGCCACTGCTTTAAGAAAGAGACTTGAGGTAAGGTTACGAAGAGCTCCATGTGGATATTTTGCTCTTAAGTCCTTATTTACCTTTAAAGATACCAAGCCTTGTAAAAATAACAAAAAAAATTAAGACAGGCCTCACAGTGGACATCAAAAAAATATCTCAAACCAAAACTAAAGGCGATGAAGCCGATCTAGTTATGATTACAGTAGAGATCAAAGTAAAAGTTCTGAAAAGTCTTAATTATCTTTACTTATCTACACTTGATTACCTTTTTAAATCTATGTTATTAGGAATTGTTGAAATCTAGTTCTGTTTGGCACTTGTTTTTCACGGCTTCTTGTGTAACAGGTTATGTGATTATCAATAAACAAAAAGCACAATAAAACATTTGCCCAATAAATGTAAGAAAAAATCATATACCTAATTACAGGGTTACTACTTAATATGGAACACTTTTTTGGTGAGTAAATTTTCTACAAAATATTCATTTTCTCTCTAATTACTTTAATGCTTAAACCGACGTGTCATCCCATGTGTAGCCAGGTGTGTTACCTAATTACCACACAACTCTCGAAAGAATTGATGCAAGCAGTTGTATGTTCTGTGCTCAGGAATGAGAGGGGTGGTCTTGTCGGCAATTTCTGCCCTTGTATAAAAGGCATGGGATTGACCAATCGTTGGAGTGTATTTAAAGCAGCAACAAAGGGGTCCCTCTGAAACTTGACAGGTACCTTAGAAAAGATATGGTTCGACAGCTAATCGACGCTGTTTACTATGGGATTCTTGGTCTCAGAGAAAATGGCCGGGCAACCAGTGTCCTCCGAAAAGAGTGGCAGAATGTCATTCAAACGCCTGTTTTAGGGTCCCTCGGGAACAAGAGATGACTGCAAGTCTTTTTTTTTTTTTTTTTTTTCAGCCAAAACACCGTGTTCGCCGACGTAGACGAAAGGCATAAAACGATGATTGTGTACTGGCTAGGGTGCAATCAGGGGATGGTAACGTTTCTGTTTGGGGAGCATTTCATGTCGGTGTCAAGCAACACAGAGCCGTACCATTCAAGGGTCTGGCGGACCCGGTGTTTTAAAACTGAGAGTGTGGCGGACTCCCTGTCTCGAAATAACGGATCTCAGAGTCCCCCTAGACACTCTATTTCAGTACGGAAAGTCTTAGGACCCTACGTTTTAATACTGACACTCCGCATTGAAGAAAAAAATATATATATTAGGCCCTATTCTTATAACATGCAATTTGCATATGGTTTTGAACATGATGAAGAGTGATATGGAGTGAAGAACTATAAAGATGAAAGGTTAAATAAGCATGATTACCCTTATGTAAGATTTTAAAACGTACTATAAATTAGTATCGTTGGCATTTCATAAACTTTAATTTGCACTATTAGCTTAGATGTTTATGATGCAATTTAAATCACAAAAAATATTTTATTGAATTCTTCATATTTATAGCAAACCCAACAATTAAATATAAAACACTTGCTGTTGTTTTTTCACATTATTTTTTTTTCAAAAACTGAATGAAATGTGGGGATAATTAAAAAAGGTTATGAATTTGCATTCTTGTGCCCCTTGGGATTTTGACTCCCCCTAGGTACGAATGAAAATTATATTTTTCCTGATTTTTCCACCATACATTTTAACATCGAACTTTCAAATATTTCCAATATATTATTCATAAAGTATACCAAAAGAAAAGATGTTGAAATGATAACCAAATATCAAATGAGTAGATTTTTCATAGGGGAGTCACTGGATGGTAAAATACATATTTTTAATTTTGTTTTCATGAAAATGTTCGCCTGCAAACTAGCAAAAAATGTCAATTTATCCTCCATTATGCATACTACAAGATATACTTATACTCAAATAAAATAAGAATTATTGAGTTTAGTGGGGGCCATAATTTATCATGGTGAGTCTGATTTTCATTATGAAATTTTGACTGGGAAGTCAGATTTTCATTATTTGGAGTCACCTTTTAGGGGAGTCAGATCTTTCATGGTACACCTGCCATGCTGTAAATAAATCCGTATTGATTGAAAATCCATGGTGACAGTGTAAGACATCGCAAACAGCTAGCCATTTTATGTCCTGAGAACCATGAAATACATCCCTTTAGGGTTGATTCCATTTGAATATAGGTTATATGACGTATAAAACAAAAAGAAATGAGTATATTTTCAATGACACTTTATACAAATGTATATTTAATAATTAATGAATTCCGTCCTTTTTGAGAAAACATATTTTGCACAGCTTAGCAATGATGCACTGTATAACGCTAGCTGTCACACATTTGAGTGGTAGTCATTGTATAGTTTAAAGAAAAGAAACGTTTTGCACAGCTTAAGCCTCGTTCACAACCGGACGCACGAATTTCAGGATCGTACATCTCCTGCGATTTTTGGGTGTTGCGGAGCCCGTGAAGGTCGAAGAGGTAGAGGAAAGTCTGCCTCGCGAGTCGCAAGGGCTACATGAGATGTCCTTTCAGGCAAGGAGTGATGGTCGTTGAAATTGTCTTGCTTCCAGTGTACGTGGCACACACTCACCACTTACGAAGGGAATGCAACATCTACTGATGTCTGGTTGAAAGCACGTAGAGTCACTCTAGTTCTCATCTTGGGTAAAGGTGCCATTACTTGTTCTGCTGCAGTTGCTTTTCTTCGCTTATAAAAGATGTAATCTTGTTCAATGGGTCGGATTATTTCACGGGCTGAGATTATCCAAAATCTCTTGAAAATCTGTGCTAGAACGAAGTTTGTTCCACCATGGACAGCTTGTGCATGATGGTACGTAACAATGAGTTTTGTTGTCCGCTGATTCCGTGGAAGAATTACTGGGTGTCGCATAACCCAAGGTACACTACCTGACCACCTCAAACGTCCGTTTGATCGAACTAGCCCATCTTCATCCAATAATGGGAGCAAAGAAAGTATCGTTGAATTTCTCTTTATCTATCTGTTTTGCTTCAATGCCACGATCTCATCCCGGGATTCCTCTTTCTGGGCGATTCTGATGTGAAATGTCTCTGCTGTGGTTAATTCATCAGTTTCCAATGCATTTCTGTGCTGCAGCGTCTTTGGTAGTCGACAATTTTCAACAAATCTCAAGACCCAAGCCGTTACTCGGACTAGTCTGGTCCATCTAGAGAAACATTTTGATGACAGTCTGTCACCTTCGGCCTTGATTGAAGACTGCCATTCTTAACGCTTCCTTCTCGTCTTCAATGTCCCAATAGCATCGAAGGAGATGATCTAAACCTTCTTGTTCTTGTACTTGTTGGTTTACATATAAGGTAAAACCAGTGTTTGGTCTGCTAGTGTTCTTCTGTGCGGCTGCAATACAGGTCCACCCTAGTGAAGTTTTGAGGGCAATTGGCTCCCCTGGCTTAACTCTGACGTCTTCTTCTGAAAACATTAGGTCAATTTGGTCTAATCCTATCAGTAGATCCACTTTTGGCCGTGGTCCTATCTCTGGGAAGTTCAAGTTCTGCAAATGAGGCCACTGTCTTTGTATTGGTTCCAATTCACAACTTGTAAGTCTCCTGTCACTTGGTCTACTGTACAAGCTGCTGCTGGTCGTTCTATTCTTCCATCAATGGAACAAATCGTGAATTCCACGGACGTCGTCTTCAGCTTGTTTTCTCTCCTATTGAGAGTGGTAACACTAACTTCCTCATACTCTCCTGACAGCTTCAAGTCGGCAGCAACATTACTGTTTAGGTAGGATCTAGTGCTGGCTTCATCCAATAAAACATTCACTTTGATGCTTCTGTTATTATTCTTCAGGAGAACTGCTACTGTTCTCATAGTTAACGTCTCTGGTTCGGTTCTTTGTTCCTTTGGTACGGAGGTAAGGGTTCTCTCCTGAGGGAACTTTAGTGAAGTTTCTTGGTTACTTTGTTCATGTTTCTTTGTTTGGGGTCTGGTCTGCTCATTTTTCTCTTGTTGAGAATCTGAATGAAGTAGTCTGTGGTGATAAGATCGGCAATTGTTGATCTCACAAAGTTTGTATCGAGGGCAGTTGTTTCCAAAATGTCCAACACCAAGACATCTGAAACACAGCTTGTTCTTCATTGCGATATCCCACCTTGATTTGACATCCACTTGTCGGAAGCTATTACACGCCCATAGGCCATGTACACCGCCACAGTGCACACACTTCAGCGCCTTTTTTTTCTCTTTGGGGGTCGATTCTCTTTCGGACAGTAAGAGAGTTGTCCCTCTCTTCTCTTTGTCGGTACTTTTCTGCTTCAGTGTTGAGAGACCTTTGATTGTCTTAGATGCGGTCATTTGGAACTCTGCTTCCTGATTTATAAATTCTTATAAATTCAGCATACTCTCTTCGCAACGTTTTTCATTCACCCATCGGTAGTACTTGGTCAGTAATGCTTCACCAGCTTGCGTTGGATATTGATATAGAGGGAGCCCCCTCCTAGCTCACTCTTCTGTCCAGCTTCCATTATGTTCACTGCTATTGAGTCCACAAGCTCAGCTAACATTTCTATGTCTCTAGGGTGGTTGTCTCTGACTTGTCTGAATCTGTCCAATTCTTACAATCTCAAGGTGATTTGTCTTCGTTTTCCACCATACTGTCTTTCTAATCTGTCCATTGCTACTCTTTCCAACCGTCGTATGTTTTCTTATCACCATTAAACTTTGGAATATGTACCTTTTCTAGAAGCCTGACGAGTCAATACTGACCGACTCTACTGTGCTCGAGTCCTGGATATGTCTGGGTAGGAAAATCGGGCCGTCGTTCTCAGTTCACTTTTGACTGGTCTCACTGAAGACATGTCCTGTCTGAATGGCGTAGATGACACAGGCTGATACTGCTTTTGTGGTACCTTTTTCTTCTGTTCCATCTCTTATTCAATTTCTGCGCCTGTTACATGCATAACATGCACTGGCTGTGCTTGGGCTTGGGCTTCCTTTGGCTCTACACTTGGCAAAGGGTTGATGACTTAATCAATCTGAGCTTTTTCTTTTATCTGATTCTGACGTTTTTCTGTTCTGGTGGGCATAGGGTCAACAGGGTTAATCTCATGCTCCACTCCCTCTATTTGCTGTTTAATTGTTCTGGGTATTTTTCTGGGTGGTAAAGGGTTAATATGGCTTATTTCATGCTCTATGTCTTCTATCTCCTGCTTTACTGCAGAAAAGCTTCTTCTTATTCAACTGTCAGACGATGAATTTCTTCTTTTATAGCTGATTCTTCTTTACTCAAGTTCTTACTGACCTTAGGCGTTTGCTTAGGGCTAAGGGTTGATCTGGTTAACATGAGGTCATCCATGATCTTTTCCAGATCTCTGTAACGCTCCTCTGTCGCTTCTAATTCAGCAGTAGTACATGCAATTTTATCTACTTCTCCCCACCTGTCCAGCTGGTTAAGTAGTTCATCACAGCTTATTACATACTGTTCAAAAACCAATGTTAGTTCTTGAAATTTCTGCCTGATTCTAGCTTTTTCTTTCATTTAAGGCATATTTTCTATCCAGTTTTCAAACTCACTGGCTGCAGCAACAAAAGCTGTTCTGGCCAGCATCTTCTTTCGTTTTCAAACTCATGGTCAATTTAGACTGTCTGTCTACTGTTGTGCCTTTTAAAACTTCTGTTGTTCTTTAAAACATTTCAACTTAGCTCTGCTACCAAACAATGTTCTTTAAAAAAAGTTTAACCTAGCTCTGCTACCAAACAATATTCTGGATTTATCCTCCGGTGCAATAAAAATTAAAGCACAAGTGTTCCTCCTTTGTTCTATCATAGTTCTATTTTATTCCCATATTGCATTAAAAAAGTTCCTGTAAAACAGGTGTTTCACTTTAACTGTCACTGAGTAGGAGATGACTTTCAAACATGCTTTTAGTGTGAGAGGGTAAAGTTTTTAGTGTTTTTTCTCTAGAACAGGGTGTTCTTTTCTTTTGAGTGACATCTTATGTCAGATTTGATATTATTGACCAAAATATCTCACAATAGAAGACTGGATATTTTTATCACTCAAGGACATACATTTGGATGAATCAAGCAAAAAAAATTAATCGGTACTCAAAAATAACAATGATAAAAATATTCCATTTTAAGTAGTAACCCTAGGATAATGATATTTTTTATCAATTAAACCTCACTCTATTATCTGGGAATACTTGTTTTGCTATATTCCAAGTTATTAGGGGATCATGTACCCTGTAGCGATCAGTCTGAAAGGTGCATTTTCTGTCTTATTAACTTATCCAAAGGCTGTTTAACTTGTTTGTTTTATTTTTGAACAGCTAACCATGTATGTGTTCAATCTATTAACTGGCACTGTTTTACTCACCGCTTTTAATGGATACAGTTTCGGACGGGATGTTGTTGAGGTTAGCTTTCAATACATTATACATCATACACAATCTCATCAATCAATTAAATGTATTTAAACACGGAAAATATACTTTGAAAGTTAATTAAATCTATTTTAGGGAACATGTCCTTTGCGAAAAATATAATGTTGTCATAGTAACTATTTATAACAGTATTAAATCATTAATATTGCTAACATCCTTTAGAAACAGTTAATCCATTGACTTGCAATTTTCCATCAATTTTCAATATATCCACAGATTCCTCAAGACGAGCAAATATCTGATCTTTGGATTCAGAAATTCACGTTGTGGTTCAGAATTATAGACATCAACAATGACGGTTTCGTCTACAAAGAGGAATACGTGGACGAAGTGACAAAACGAGCTCAACAGGTTCTCTCCCCATGGAGGGCCAATGCTGTGTTCGGACTAATGGCAAAAGATTGGCAGTTTTCGTTGCACGGCAAAACGTCCAACACAAAACAAGCAATCAACCTCGATAGGTTTCTTAAGTTGTATGAATTGAACCTCCTAACCGCATCAGTGAATGAGCTTCAGATATATTGGTGTTCGGATTTGTTCCATATTTTAGATGTAGACTGCGATGAAAAAATGTCTCTTGACGAGTATTCCAAGCTTTTACATATAACACGCAATATATTGCCTCCTGAAGAACTGTTCAATTACATTGACCGCAACCAAAATCACATCATAAGTTTGGAAGAGTTCTTATTTGGCTGTAACGATTTTTATTTCGAAATGAAAGACAACACGACAGTCCTGTTTTATGGCTTTCCTGGAAATTAACTAAATATAAAACCCAATGAGGGTCGAAATTGTCACATTCATGGATACTGTTGTCGCTTATGACAACAATTTGCGTTTACAATCGTATCACTGGTCAGCTTTTATTATTATGCAAATCATTTGCTCTGTATAAATACTGTATGCAGTAGTTCCGGGCGCGGTCACGTTGTATTTGACGAGCGAAGGCTCAGGTCGTCGNTAATATTGTTTGTTTTTAATTGTTTGTTTGTGACAGATAATATAGTGAATATGTTTGTTTGAGTATATAGTGAGGTAGATAAATGCATTTTTTTTTTGTGTGTGTGTGTTTGTACAAATAATTTTTTTTTTGTTTAAGTGGGAGTGTTGTCGCTTATGACAACAATTTGCGTTTACAATCGTATCACTAGTCAGCTTTGTATTATTATGCAAATCATTTACTCTGTATATATACTGTATGCAGCAGTTCTGGGCGCGGCCACGTTGTATTTGACGAGCGAAGGCTCAGGTCGTCGAGACTGAAGTTTTAGTAGGCAAAATTTGTGGATCAGCATTTGGACGGGAAAGCCACATTTCTCTGTACGTATTGTATTCAATTCTATTGTTAATCATTTGCACAACATTTCCATTTCTTATGATTAATTTATTATTTCTTTTTATATTTGTATTCAATTTATGTTATATTTGTGTATTTTGTATAATTAGTTTGGTATTTATATTTCATTATTTTGGTATTTTTAGTTTCACCATATCCATGTCAGTGTGCGTGAAATAAAGTGTGAACATTTCCCGTCGTTTGTTTGTTTGGTGTGGGATCCGCAACAATTCTAAAAACATGGTTTTCATTTTAGCGGCATTTCATGTGCGCCCAGCTAGCATGTAATGTTTACAGTAATAATGACATTTTTGCCCACGTATTCTTACCTTTATATAACAAAATACAATCACAATTATGTGAATAGCAAAGCTGAAGAAGAAGGACGAGTATATGTAAGTCACGTCAATCAGGTCTCGACTTTCCCAGTTAAGACTGCATGATACACCAAAACTTTCATAGGTGTATTTGGACCAGCCGAATAGCGGCAGTGAAGTCCAAAAGAGGGCGTACAACCAAGACGCCGCCAAAGCAAAGCACCGTATCCCTGGTGACTGACGAGGATCCAAGAAATATCCTGAAAATAGAATAAAAGAAATGCGGAAATGGACAAGGTCAGAAACAATTCCATATAATACGCAAAATACCAGATTTTTATTAAAGAGCGCGTGGCAAGAAAATAGAAAACACCCATCAGTGATACAGGTATATCTGCAGGGGCGGATCCAGAGATATTTTCTGACAGTCTTCCAAATTATCTTTGCTGTTCCAACCTTAATTTTTGAACGTCTTCCGACAGAAAAAATTAGATACACGTAAATGAAAACTTAAAAATCTGACCGTCTTCCAGAAGACCCAGAAGACGGCCTAAACCCGCCCCTGATCTGCAATCAGTTTATCTTTACAATAATTTACCATTTGGTAAAAGCAATATCGCGTGCTTATACATGTATTTGATTATGTGGAATTCAAAATTATGACAGGTACATTTAACTTACTAAGGTGTGGCTTGCAGACTTCAATATATCTGTACACACTGATGGCTACGTGGATGTTGGAGCAGACGAGAGCGAAAAAGTAGCAGAGAAAGGCGGCAAGGACACACCCGTAGTCGCCAAACACCCATGTGCCGGCAAACGCTGAGACGGTGAACATCACGTGACCGGATGCTGTTAATGCTATCCCGGCAATGGCTAGATGCGTAATGAGATGCGCGTGGAGCTTCCGGGAAAACTTCTGGCTCTTCTTGCATGTGGCCAGGCAGACGATGTTTCCAAACAGGGCTCCTATTGCTTAAATATAAAGAAAAAAATATGTAGATTAGTTTAAATAGGACGGGACGGGCATTAGAGCGAAAATGTTCATTAGCTTGGTAGTTGGTACACAGATGGTAATTATTCAGCACAAGCTGAAAATTTTCTATACCGATCGCTTGCGGCCAACCTAAATGGGACATACATGTAGTAGCGTTTATGTCCATGTTTGTAAGTACAGGTATGAGGAATGCAATAAAACAGTGGTTATGCCGCCAATCCTTCTTCTTTCCCAGACACCCACACGAATGGTCATCTGTAGATTAAATACTGAACCTAATCTTTTTATATAAACTGCGTCATTTTGCAGCAGACACCGCAGCTATTACTTATTTGCATAGCAGGTACGCATCATGTTTATCTGATTGCCACGCTTTTATTAGAAGGAAGATCTATTGAACGCGTTTAACCTTGACGAACAGGTGTCTGGCGATCAATCGGAAATAACGTATGTTGCATACCTTAGTTGTCAGTCTATTATCTATCATTTGTGTTTATCAACTCGGTAGACACACGACTTTGCGTAAACGTTATGACTTTTTGCTAAGACGTTGATCAACAAAGATTTCATACTGAGTTAATTGTAAGTCACCATTAAATATGCGCTGTTGATTCAATGTTCAATATAAGTTCAGTTGAAATACATGTACGGTATTGTTTTCAACCTTGAACTGTGGACACGTAAAATCATACTGATCCCTTTCCATGTTCTTGCCATGGCATTGTAAAACTGAGCAATTGCATTTATAAAGTAAGTTTCCAGAAATATTACATGCACGAAGTAATACCTAATTTTGTCATCTGTGTATTGTGGTCAACTTGAAAACAGAACCTATTTTTCAGATTGCAACGACGTCTTGACAAATCATTTTTCCCTTTTTTTACGTCGTGGCATGATATCGTACATAAGACTGGGTTCCCATAGATTTAGATCGATCTATCCGGATCGACCTAACTCCTTGGGGATTCACGCTAAATTGCTGTCAGGTTCCGAGAGCCGAGCGCACACGGAAGTTAATTACCCCCTTGCAGCTTTTAGTAGGCGGGACAGACATTTAAGCCGGTCAGGCTGACAACAATCTAGTGAGACTCCCCACGGGGATAGATCGATCTAAAAATCTATGGGAATGCACTCTAAGACAGTTTAGTTTTAAGGATTATGTGTCCCTAGGTGATACCAGAGAAGAAAAAGACCGCGTGGGTCACGACTTCTCCAAGCCAATCTTAGAGTAATTACTCGACACCTGCTAGTTTATGGTCAATTTCTCAAGATCATCATTCCTCAAAGGGTATCGTAAATGCATCATTTGCTGAGTTTACCTGTCAAATCGCAGTCAGCTGAGGCTTGCTGATACTTAGTTTAGTCCTTTTATCTCTCTCTGTTCATTTTGTTCGGTTTAATTAAGAAAAATATGTTTTTTTGTGGGGGAAAATACATATGCCACGGTAAAATGAAGGGAATATATATAAATACATAAATGCCGATAGACATTGAAAGACGGAAGGGGGTTGGGGTAGGGGTTGGGGTAAATTTAAAAAATTAAGAAAGAAAAAACTTTGCAAACTAAAAAATATGAAAGGTGAATCAATCTGCCTAAGTTCATATTTCAGTGGTTAATATCACGTAGCTTGCGGTGATTTATGATAGTGGCGATTGAATGTCTTCCTTGCGCGTTACGTTTTAATATGCGTATTCTTTTCCAGTGAATGAAAAATAAAAAATGTCCATGCAAGTCAAGCAGAGATAAATGATCGTGCAGCTAACGGATTCCGTAGCGAAAAGTTATTAATACTAAGGAAGCCTTTTTTAACGCACTTTTCCCCGACTTACTCAGTGACAGATAAGTTGCATTAGCGAGATGCAGGCCATCTTGTCAATTGTAAAACATCAACTATTTTTTCCTGTTTATACAGTTGAATTTCAAAACTTCTGGGAATTCAACTTTATCTCCAACTTATTTCTGTCTTTTTTTTGTTTTGATGGTGGAATCCCCAGTTTTCTTTGACACTCAGTGTGTTAGTATTCGATACATGCAAGTGCCCTATAGCAATATAAAACCTCCTTTACATTGGAGGGCGACCTATCTGCGTCCTTTGTGCGATAGGTGAAACTGGTATCGCTGCGGTCGTAATAAGGAAGAACAAGCATTGCGTTGGTTACAGAATGAATGTTCAATGATCGGCCAGTTGTTGACACGTAAAGTATTATTTTTTTTTACTCTCAAACAGGGCCGTACTACGGGACGCAGAAAGGACGCCGTCCAGTGTAAATGGGGCTTAAATAACTCATTGCAAGATCGCCTTTTGCTTTGAATGCATTAGTATTCTGAATACAATGCGTTAGACATTTTTTGTTCTTGTATAAATTCTGCATTTTTTAGTTTGGTATTCTAGCGTTGGTATAAAATTCCAATGAAACATGACACATGCGTTATTCAGTTACGCACACGTCTGTTTAGATTAAGGAGACTCCGTCAACCAGATATCTCTCACGAAATCATTGCTTTAACGCACCGACTAATAAGGTACAGAACTAATACGGTACAGAGACATGGTATCTATTTCATCACCTAGGAGATTGTATATTGCCAATTATTTAGGAACAAGAAATACTTATAATAACGTTAACTGCGGGTGTTTTTCTCGCCTCCGTAACTGTCTACCGATAATAATCTTGATATTGATTCCTTCAGCAGCTTCGTGCTTGAGAATTTATCCCACACGACAATGGTGTCACGAATTATTGCGCATCCTGCACTTATACGATATCATCTATTCTTAAAAAGCTCAAGTTAATAACTTCCGATTTTTTTCTCTAATTAGGGGTGTTGATTATGATGCAGGATGTTCAAGATCAATCAAAAGATTCTATTGGAATGCAAAACACAAAACACACAAAAATTAATTGCGATGCACACAGCGCAGTTTTTTTTTCTCGCGGCAAGGCCATATGAATTAAGGGCCACACCACAACAAAACCTTTGCAAAAACCGCAAATGCCATTATTAGTTGATTGATAAACAACCGGATGAGGGTCAATAAATAACAATTAGTTACCCGCGGATATATCTAGCTTTGAGGGTTTTCAGAAGTCTTGCAAGTCTGGAAATGAAAAAAGCCACTGAGGCGTCATTCTATAGTGCTATTCATCAGAGGGCTTGAAATACGTACTATAACCTTTCCAACTATGCAGAAGTCTCTACTGCAAGCCTGTCATTCAATTAAGTGATACAAAATAGCCTACAGACAAGGGACGTGTAAAATATATAACGCACTTGCAAATTCTACCTGTTTGTTCTGACGACAGCTATAGAATTAAGAAACTTTCCTAAAACGCTTCCGTTATCCAATTATATATTTATTTCATAATGCCCTTTAATAATGTGTATTCTTTAAAGCGCTTGGGCCTTCGGACGGTGTTATACAATGTACAAGCGCTCCTGTCAAATACTTCATGTAGGCTATAAATTATCTTTGAAACTTGTCCAGATGAATTAATAGTGTTTTTTCCATGTGCAGTTTTACTATTCATAATCCCAACTGATTGTAAAACTTTTTTTCTGTATATGCCGTACATTGAGGGTTTTTTGTTGAACAAAACTGTGTAAAACTGCTGTCGATACAATTATAAGGATCGTACCAGCTGAACAGTCTATTTGTTACTTAAAAAAAATAATAATAAAACTTATGAAATAATGATAAATGAAGCAAATTTACAACAACAACAAAAAATAAATAAATAAATAAATAAATAAATAAATAAATAAATAAATAAATACGGGGAGACATAGAGCATGTAAATGTCATCCACTTATCTCAGGACGAGACATGTAATCTCTATCCTGTGTTCCTTGTATTGGAGTAAGAAAAAAAACTTCTTTGAATAATTCATCACTTCACATTGAAAGCTGATATATCACCTGGCGATACATGTGCAACAATTCTCATGCGCAATGCGTGAAATCTTAGATTTATTGTGTAAAACAGTTTAACAAAAACAACGTTCTATAGGTAGCAGTAATATAACGCATTCATTTATTTAAAAAATGTTGTCATTTGCCTTAGAGGTTCATAAATTTTCTCAGAACCAGTCGGGTAACAATATCTTAGACATATGTCGCAGTAAAACAAGTTCTTTTTAAAAAGCAGCATAATATGCATATGTCTAAATTCTGCCATGTTTTAAATATTTATTGCACACAGTGGTTGAACAATGTACAATATGTAATAAATTTTCGGGCTGCAACAATTAACTTAAATAGTTTTTCTAAAAGCGCATTTATGAATGAGTTAAAACGAGGATATTTGAAACAAGTACTTCAATTTGGGAAACAATGTGCAGAGAATCAGAAACAAATAAATATCAGGTAACATGAGATATGCATACTGATTAAGGTCTTTACATAACAATCCTCATTGTTGTAGGAATCGGAGTCCTGGGAGAGGAGAGGAGCAGACATCAAGAAATGTGAGACATTGTAAAACATTCATGAGGAGGAAATTACGAGTGTTCCGGTCAAATAAGCTCGGCAGCCAAGGAAGTGAGAGAAAGGGCGCAAACTAGGAAAATGAATTTAAGAAAGGCAAAGGAAAAGAAATGTCGATGAAAGAAACGGCAATCTTTGAAGCTGAACCAGCCTACGGGAAATTATCGATTTCCACCTGGTTGACATCCTTTTCGTTGAGTATTTAGCTCTTGAAAAGGTCATTGATATGGTGAACGGAACTTAAAAATGCAGCAGGATAATCACAGGAAATCTCTACCAGAGCTGCTCATGCGAGTAACACATTGACTTGTATAATCTTAACATCGTTCACAAGGGGCGAAGAATTGACGCGACATGTGCTATTTGATAATGTCAGACCTGTCAAACAGATCGAATGGAAAATCCCATTTCGCCAAAAAGAAAATATCATATATGATTGATTTTTTGAGGGTGTTTATTATTTTATATAAAAAATCGAATATAAGCAACTGCTAGGTTAGAGCTGAACAGGTCTTGCCAGTGATGAGAGAAATAAAAATTGCCTTAGAATACACTGTTTATGCAAGCCAACGTCTCAAAAGAAAACACAAACAACGATGAAAATACTTACTTTCATAATGCAACATTAAAATAACTTAAGATTAAGACATATTGATTTGTGGAAAATAAAAATCATTTACCTGTTAAAGTCAGATATACCCCAATAACTGTGCAGGCAGTGTCTGTGAGAGGTCGCAATTCCTCCTCAGAGAAGACAGTAGTGTCGTTAAGCATTGTCATCCGTCTTGTGGTTTTTTCCGAGTAAATATGCAGTCTGTCGCCGTTCTCTTGCGCTCTGTGCCGCATTTTACGCTTTTATAGCCTTGAATGACGATCGCTTATCGTGACGCTCCGCGGCATTGCTGAAACGGTGACGTAAATTCTCTGGCACATGGAGTTAATAACGATTATCAGGGCACTTACGGCGATTTCTCGATAAACACTACTGGTAAACAGGTCTTGTATATGTATACCTCTCTAACAATTTGTTTGTATGTTATTTTTTTTGCTCGTGTTTTTGGCCGCCTACTAATTAATTAAGGCTTACACTGTATTTCCAAACACTGCCTAATCTTTATATTCCCACAATTGATAAAAAAGGAGAATGTGCATGTACGGTGCAAAAATACTGAACGCCCATGCATTGTGCCTTTTATTATCAAACCTACCGCAAATTTCCGAACACTTGACACAATTAATTGCTATTGCAATTATGCTTGAGGTTCAGCTTATTATCCCCTGTTTTTCTTTAGTATAATAGATCGGGCAAGATTTGACCTCTCAGGCTTGGCGGATACAGAAGGGAATAACCAATTACTGTTTCGTAAGGATCTACTTGATTTTTATACTGCTACAGGACAAAGAGGAGTTACTGACGTATGGTCCTTGGTTACATTGCATTTAAGGTGCCCTCAAAATACGATAATACATGTGCATGTGCATGAATGATTGTTTTAATCGTTACTTTTCTGGGAATAGATGATAGCGACTTCCTTTGCCTCATATTTTAACTGCTCGGATCTAATTGTTTTCTTTACATAAGCTGGTTATTAACTCTGTCCAAGCCTTTTTGGGAAATGGATGAATGGAATATTTGCCTAGGAAATGGACTAAAACACTGACGGGTCCGGGAATAGGACAGATGAGAGAGAGAGAGAGAGAGAGAGAGAGAAGGGCTAACAAATGATGCATACATGCTGTTTCGGTCAGCATACATACACTGTACACGAGATCATTTTAAAAACAATTTTAACGAAATATGGGGTATGCCCCCCACCGTTTGTTTTGGTTTGCTCTTTTAACTGTTTACTTATTTCATAGGGGAGGGGGAAACAAATACCACAGAGCTATTTAAAAACGTGACTAGGTACATGATGTAACGACACGCGATGAAATTTTTGACGCATTTCAAGATGACCGCAACAACGTAGTGGGCTGAAGGAATGGGCACAAGAAGCTGGTGGGTTTTGTAAGATCGCATTCACAACGAGTTGAGCCAGGCTTTACAAATACTGGGGACTAAATATGGCGGTCGTACATGAAAGAAAAACCGCCTAATCTTTTAATAGTCTCTCCGCCTCTCACACACCTCCCCACACGTCGTCCCTGCGGGGGGACAGTCATTAAATCTCGGCTCCGTTGGGACGACACATGGGGAGGCGTGTGAGAGGCGGAGAGACTATTAAAAGATTAGGCGGTTTTTCTTTCATGTACGTCCGCCATATTTAGTCCCCAGGATTTGTAAAGCCTGGCTCAACTCGTTGTGAATGCGATCTTAGACATACAATATTACATATATATCTTCCTTTTTTATTTTTATGTCAATAAATGTAATCTTGAATTGTGATCGGTTGTTAATAAATGTTATTCAAATATATATACAAAAGTAACTGCATATCCTCTATTTGTAAATGTCTGAGGATTGGCGTTTCAGGGTATTCAAATAAAACATCCACATGATACGTTCGTCTAATTATATCCTTCCAGTATCACCGGTGCGGTTTGAGCCCTCTTTGTGAAGAAGACGTCCGCTAACTCCAACATTACATATAAAAAAGCTTGTCAATGATAGAAAGAAACTTTTAATCGCACCAATACAACTAAATACCTCGCATTTAATTTTCGCCCATCTATAACGTATAAAATTTCCTTCAGCCTCATAAAACATTGAAGTGCATCTTAATTGTGCTCAGGTGCAACTTTAGAAGACGGGAAACTGTACCGCATCAGGTTAGATACCTTGTCCAGTTGTAAATAGTATTAATCGCATTTATTAAAAGCAAGTTGGAAACCTGTCAAGGTCTGAGTCAATGTCAAACCATAGAGTTGGAAGCCTGTCAGCAACACGGTTTGAAACAAAACAAACAACCGAGGCAATTATATTCTCGGAAGTTTAGATGAAGGCCAGGTTACAAAATGTACCCAATGGATTGTCGTGACATCTGTCGGTTGACGCAGTTAAGTGACCAACAACACACACATGACTGAGAGCAGATATTAAAATTATCAAGTGATTTCAATAAAATTAATCGGAATCATACTGGAAGCTTGTCATGCAACATTATGACCGCGTCTTCCGGGACACGGCGGGAGTCGCACCTTTGAAAATAAACAAGGACGATGGGATTTCCATGTCACACTGATTTTGAACATATTCTGAGTCACCATAGTTTGGGAGGTTAATATTTCTCTCAAATGCTGAGTATATTTTTCTATACTCTTTTTATTCTCTACCACTAGTACTGTAGCGATCAAGAATAGGTTGATGGACTCTAGTAAATTACTTTTTTTTGTTTTTTTGGTGAGCATTCATTGTCTTGTAAGGACCTGACACTATACAGTGTACCAGTGTTAAGTGAAAAAGAGTCCCCCATGATAGAGATTCCGCTTCCGATTCATTTGTATAGGTAAGCCTCACTCTAGATTTTGACCCACTTATGTCAGGCTAACCCTAACCATTACAACTAAACGGTGGGCCGGCTTTCTGTTACACGGGTGCTCAGTTTCGTTACACCGGTTTTATCAGAGGTCAATGGCTGCAGCCACAGCAATGTCAGGCGGGTTGTTTTGATTTTCTCTGGATCGCGCTGATAAAACCAAGAGGGAGTCTCTGTCACGTGGGCACCTCGTGGTCTTGCCACTTATAACCAGGCGTGCTTCACGATGAGGGCACCTGATCATATTGTTTTATAACCTTAACCCACGAACCACAAAGGCGTCATACATGCACTGTACATGTATCTTTACACTGGACGGCGTCCTTTCTCTGTCATTTGTGCAACCATGGAACTACATGTAGCATCGCTGTGGCCAGTTGTCGGCACGTAAAATATTCTCTTTTTTACTCTCAAAAAGGGCCGTACTTCGGAACGTAGAGAGGACGTCGTCCTATATAAAGGGGATTTACTTGTATAGGCCTATCATACATACTAGTATATGTGGAATATAGAGCATATTCATGTATACACCATTCTACCTCTTGCCCATCCTAGTCCTCCGATTGGTCAGTTACAAAGCCATATTTGTCCTCGTAAGATGTCAATTGCTACAGTGTACACGTAAACATGTGTATCAAAATTATCTTGCTGTGGTTTTGTTTTCAGTATACATTTCATTATACTTTCATGTATCTTAATTGCTGAAAAATGTAAAAATCTCTTTTTTTTCTATATAAGGTATTCTTATTGTTATGCATTGCATAACCAATCCATGTATTATCAACAAACTACAGATAAATCAGCAAAACCGAAAAGTGTTTTTGTTTACATCTTGCTTGAGTGAAGGCCTTTTGCAGCTAGATGATTATAGTTGCTTACTTCTTTTGTTTACTGAAGAGCTCGCATGCTCTCCAGCATTCCTTTGTTTACTGGAGAGCAGGCTCTTCAGTAAACAAAACAAGTCAACATCTCGTCATCTAGCTGCAAAAGGCCTCTAGTTACTGGTACAATAAAAAATAGAGCACAGGCCCCGTGTACTATGAAGATCACAGGCACGTGCGATGGTATGGTAAAGATCTTAAAGACCATTCAGAACAGAAGATCCGAGGCTCTACTGATCCATGGATCAAATATGGCGGACTCTACATGAAAGAAGAGTCGACTAATCCGCTGATGGTCTCCCCGCCTCCACACTCGCCGTCCTTGAAGGGGGCTAGCAACTAAACCTAGGAGCCGTGATTTAACCCGTTTCATGGCGAGTGTGGAGGCGGGGAGACCATCAGCGGATTAGTCAGCTCTTCATTCATGAAGGGGCCGCCATACTTGATCGGTGGATTAATAGATCCTCGGAGCTTCTTTTCTGAATGGCCTCTTTAAAGTTCTGGAACCTGCCTAGTGCATATGGGTGAATTGGATGGCCATTAAATTTTTCTACACATACATAATTTGAAAGCAGAAGTCTTATGTTATGTTTCCTCGTTTCAATTTCCAAGAGTCAAGACCGCAGGGGCGGATTTAGGCCGTCTTCTGGGTCTTCCGGAAGACGGTCAGATTTTCAAGTTTACATTGTCGGGTATCTAATTTTTTCTGTTGGAAGACAGTCAAAATTGGAGGATGAATCAACAAAGATAATTTGGAAGACTGTCAGTAGATACCTCTGAATCCGCCCCTGCTGACCTGCTATACGGTGCTGGGTTTTACTATTACATGGACCTTATTTTTCATGGATTTATTCTGTCTCTGTCCCTCTTTCTCGCTCACTATATACATTGGTCGGCAATTTTCGCTGGGTGACTCGAAAGCTTATTAAAGTTGACAGAGACGATGACAAAGCACCAATTACCGAAAGGGAGATACTCAATTAACAATTAAAATACTCGTGCGCATGTCAGTAACAGTAGACTGGGTCGTGTACGGCTTACGCGATATTAAGATTTAATGTGATCTAAAGGCTACGGAAACTTTTGAGTCTTAAGATATATACATACGAACTAACCAGGATCAGGCTGACAACATTGGTGGAAGCTTCTAAAAGAGATTCTGAGTGTGATTTTTGAAGCTGACTAGTGACACCTCCAAATCGACCTTTACCTATACACACTGAACACTTTTAGCAACAAGATGATGGCTGTAAATGACACAATAGATTACGTAAATACGGTGATCGCACACGCACAAGTGCATAGAGCCGATGGCAACGATAGCGATAATGAAGATAATGACATGTATTATAGCCCGCCGATGACAACAAGGAAAAGGCAACATCCTGAACAAAGTTCGTCGTGTGAATCTAAAAAACTGAGACATGAAAATATGATAGACAATGAAACGGTATATACAATGTTCCAATCTTTATCTAAACAAATGAAA